TGGGAGTCGGCCCGGAGTGTTCAGGGGCTCTGCTATCGGGGCCCCAACCGTAGCGGCCCGCTCCCCTACAGCGCCCCGAGTGTCTGCACAAATCCGAGGGCCACCCCCAGTGACGGAGCCTGCCCCGCCCCCCTGGTTCGCCTTGGCAGGGAACCCACTTGTCAGCCGGGTAAAGCCATGACTGAGGCCATGTGCGAATATTAGACTGGCTTATCTGGTGAGACGCCAGTAAGACATGTGGAAATTAAAATAAAGGATTAGAGCGAGGCGAGGGGCTTTTATTTATTTCATTTATTTATTTATAGATCAACATTTTGTGAAGCTTGTCACCTTATCGCTAATTCTTCCCGACACGTTGTTCCGACTGACATGACTGTAATTTCATGGCTCCTACGACCTATGTAGGGGCGCCTGGGTGAGGCGCTGCTCCACACTCCTGTCCCCCGCCTCACTCCTCAGACATAAAAAAGCCCGCGTGGGAGGTGGGGAACATCTCCTGTAACGCCTGAACGCGGGGGCCAGCGTGCAGCCCGTGTGTTACCCCGAACACCTTTAAGGGGCAACTCCACCAAATTTGGAGGATTTATGCATCGGAAACTACAGACAATCCTTATGTTGTTTTCCTGTATGATCAAATGCTATTTCGTGGTCGGTTTCCTGCTGTGTGGACCAAGGCCAGTAGCTGCCAGTTTTATATTCTTGTCCTAGTCTGTCTTCTCAGTGCACTAATGATTCCTGGGAAACAGCATGAGCATTGGGGAAGGTGAGACCCCCTTGAACGTCCTTTAATGTTTAGAGTTCATGCATGAGCCGCAGGATTTGCAGAGCGCAGAGCCACAATGTCTCCTAGGTACAAACCTGTCACCATTGGTGCAGCCAGCCCTCTGTCTAAGGTGAATACGGCATTATTTTCTTTGGATAAACAACATGAACTCCGTATCAGTGTTTGGGCGGGGTTCCTCTTCCTCTGCGAAAGTCCTCTGGGAGCATCAGGTCTCCGAGTCCACATTCCGTCGGTCCCGAGCTACGTGCTGCTGTCAGTCTTTATAAGGCTTTGAGTGAGGGACATTTGCACAAGCAAAGGGCAGCAGGAGGGCTTGACCTGCCATCGCACAGCACACCTCCCCTCATGGGGTTTCCTGGAAGGAACTACAGTATGGGGGGAAAAGCGAATCGTCCAAGGAGATTTTACTCAAATCCTCAATTACCTGTTCAGGACATCAACAGAACCCCATAAATTTATTCCAACTGTACAAATCTGAGACGCTTAACGCTGTGCTGTTCAAATACAGCGGCCCTGAGCCTCAGTTACCGGACGTGAGGAGTGGTGTGACTCCTCCCCAGTGCGATATCACAAAGTGTCTGCAGACTGGGTGGGTACAGGAGCCCAGGAGAGGAAGGCCCTCTCCGCTTACATACCTCAGAGAACCTTTAACACAGGAAGCTGTTTATCATAACATGTTGGGGAGATATTGCCTCCATGCTGAATCAATTAGGTCTGGCCTGTTTCATCATACTTCATAACTTGGGCCGTGGAGCCCAGGGGTCTCCAGAGCGTGGTACAGTGCTGTAATTGAATTTTGATTAAACACACATGGCTTGTGAGCCCGCATGGCCGTACAGGGAGGCGTGACCTGCTGGAGAAGATGGGAACTTTCCAGAAAACAGGATGTGCTTTGTTGGATGGGGGGGGGGGGTGGCGGAGTGAGGGGGATAAGATATATGAAATGTATGAAAATCAGGGACAGCTGGGGAACAAAGATTTCTTTATATTTCCATTCTGTCTGTTTTTAGCTAGGATCTGTCAGATATTTGAAAGGTAACGCAAAGGCGTCTGCTTTCTGGCCGTAGCGGAATCCCGCATGAGGCTGGGGCAGAACACAGGGGCAGGTAACTCTCGCTGTGTCCTGAGAGACAGGCATGTTTACATGGTAATTCACAGACTGTCACCGAAACTGCCATCTCTCCTGCTGACCGCAGAGCGTCCAGTGATCGCAGTCAGGAAGATCAGCTTACAGCCGGCATCCGAGCGTGAAGGACAGACACGTTAAAGACACTTAGTAAACATCAAAGATTGATGTTGAGCCTTCTGATGACGCATGACCTATAGCTAACCCTTAACTACAGCTTAAAAAAACGACCTTGTAAGAGAGCCGACATCCTCCGTAATCCTGACCTGACTGTTGTTTGTGTTGATATAGCATGAAACAGTAAAATCGAGATGCTTCTGACTAAAGGGTCACCTGACCCTCCTCTTGGTTCTTCAGAACTCTATGGTTCAACCCCTCACTATAAATGTGACAGTAGTGATATGTAGTGATTAGTGACAGAACCTTGCGTATAGATAGTGTACTTGCTCAGGAACTTAGGAGAAGGTTGTCAGGCATCCACAAGGGGTCAAAATACAGTTCACACACAGCTTAAAACAGACGTATGCTTTCATCTGTGGGGTGATGTGGGTTAGATACCTCCACCTGTGTCCAGAAGGTCATAGGTTTGAATCCCAGGGATAGCAGAGTAATCATTGCTGTTGGGACCTTGAACAAGATCCTTACCCTCGAAAACTCTTCCGGGGTACAAAGAAAACCTCCATGCTGAGTGCAGGCTTTTACCCGTGTATTAATATGGGGGTGTGTGCCTCACAGGAGAGCGGGCTGAGATGTGTGAAGATTGAATTTCATTGTGTCTGCTACTTGTAAAATAGCAATAAAGGTGTTTTATCTATCGAACCAAAAGGGAGCCAGGGATCATCTTAACACCAAATCCTAAACGTGGCACCAATACAGGCTACTGATGATGTCACAGACACGTCAGGGGCTCGCTGACACTCAGGCTATCTGATCCAAAACACGTTTCACGCTTTGAAAGAGAAGCCCTTTTAATTTCCTTCGTCTGTGGGTCTTATTGTGTGCCCAGGTTCTCTCCATGTCTGCCTGCGCTGAATGCATCTGGCAAACATATTTCAGAATTTTGGATTGACTGCAGCTTGTCTTTTGTCAACTAAGAATGCTTGTCACTCGCAGTATGAGTACTCTATTCATTCTTTGCAAGTGCTATGATGTGCCTACAATTAGAATCAGCACAATACCGAAACTAAAACGGCGAAGGATGAGCACTGACGATCGCCAAAATCGTGGGTCCAAGCGTCACGTTTCCAAAAATCCCGTCAGCCTCATTTACTGCAGGCAGCTGGAGGAGTTCTATCCTACCCGCCACGCCCCGCCACGCCACGCCCTGCCATGCCACGCCACACCACGCCAGCAGGGTGACACATGCAGCCAGAATTTTCCCTGCCAATTTTTTATGAAATTAATTTCCTTAAAGACGCTGTCAAGAGCCGGATGATCTCATCTGGGTTTTCCTGTTATTCCACATCAACGGTCCAGCAGAAAGGCCGCTGAGGATTCTGGGAGCCACTGCCCAGGCCTCCGGGAAGCGATGAGCATGATTAGAAAGGTAATCCGAGGTCTCGCCGAACCCCATTTTACAAGAGGGGCGAGGGATGCTGCCGTCCCCCTTCAGGAAGTATGGGCTCTCAGAGCTCTGGGTGGTTTGAAGGTCCAGCTTTATTTTTTTGGACGTGGGGGAGGGACAGAAGGCTCAGCCCTCCCAGGGACCCATCCCAGCACTACAGCCTACATGCGCCACGGGGACGGTGTACCTATAAAACACTCGTCGGGATGAGGGGTGCTTTCGTTTCCCCTGGCGCATGGAGGATGAGGTTGCTAGATTCCTGAGAGCTCCATAAATCTCCCCCCTCTTATCCCTGTGCTATATTGATAAGCTCAGCTGTGGTTTAGCCAGAGTAACACAGCAAGGGGGCCGGACGACACGCTAAAGAAGTCTATCCAGAGAGCTGCAGTAAGTATTGTAATCATTTTCGTTCAACAACTGCACATTCAGAAATGTGAACCTTACACATCAAACACATGCATCATAACATCGGAATGCGCTTCTTTTGATGGCACTGTGGCATATCGCAGTGGCGTGTTTACGGCGATCCGAGGTGCCAGGCGGGACCCTTCCTCCACTGCGAGAAAGACCAGCCTGAGCGCAGACAGCGTGGCTATTGTACGGCTCGCAGTCAGTCACTCAAAAATAAATATGAGCACGTTACACTTTTATTACACTGTCACAATTACAGAATGGAGGCGACTTCACCATTTCCCCAAGCAAGGATTTTCGTTTTCATCACCAATTATCTTAACGCTGCTCTTTTATTTGAAATGTTTAAGATTCTGTTCCTTTTTACACAATCCCTCATTATCCTCCGCACCCACATTAACTAATTAGAGAAGTTAACACATCCTGACATGAACAATGGTTCTGGCGGGTGAGCCAGAGTGCTCGCGCAGCCATATCCGCAGTGATTCAGACTGTCGCACACACACACAGGTTTGTAACTATATCTTTGTGGGGACTCTCTATGGGGAAAACCCTAATCCCGACATGACAACTTTAACCCCTAACCTGCCCTAACCTTAACCATAAGTAACCAACCAAAATATGAGACTTTTGGCATTTTTAGTTTTTTGATTGCATCTTTGTGGGCATGGGCGCACGCACGCGTGTACACACACACACACACACACACACACACACACACACACACACACACACACACACACA